GTGTCCCGGTGGCAGCTCTGGGAACTAACTTTCCACTGGAACCATCTGAGCTTTCTTCCTCTTCCAGCAAGATCCAGTGTCAGCTTATTGAGCCTTGAATTCCTCCCCGACCCCACTTCCCTCTTCCTGGGAATGAAGAGGAAGTCAGTATTTGCTTTTCTAGCAAGGTCACAGATCACCTGACCGAATCCTTTAACAGCTGGGAAGGCAATGCCACTGTGTGGAACTCCCCAGCAACCAGCCAGGTCCAGCGCCTCACTTTCTGGGAGGGGACGGTCCCTCCTGCTGCAGGCGGTGGCAGGGGGAGGATGCCAAGGGAAGGTAATGTGGTCACATCTTTGCTCGTGACAATTTTCTCTTCTTCATGAAGCTCCAGATTCCACTGCTGCAATGCAGACAAAAATGATAGACGCTTGCAGAAAAATGTGGGAAGGGAGTTAATGAGATTGTGTTAATGTGTCATTTATTGAGCATGAGTTGTCTCTTTGTTTCCTGGGTTGGTCGGAAGTGAGCCAGCTGGAGAACTCAGTTGGCAGAATTTTTCAGGAGTGCCTTTCACCTCCCCCCGGTGTCGGTGTCCGTGTCGGCTGCAGCCCTCTCTATGGGAAGCAGCGAGGTTAGATGCCTCCTGCTTCTTAGCACAGGGGACATTTACCCTTGGCGGCACAGGGCCCTGGAGTGGGGCAGTGGGGGTCTCTCGTCGTTTTGGCAGGACCGGTAGGAGGTATAGGTAACCTTTTTTGTCTCTTTTGGAAAGAGGGCTTTGTCTTGCAAGTGACCACTCATGGATTGACAGGGTCCCTGTTTGGAGCGCTACCTTGCTAAATATTTGACTTTGTAAGGTTGACTTCTCCAAGAATTCTCGTGGCAGTAAGGCTGTGCTTTGAGCCAAGCTTTCTTTTCAAGGAAATCCAAGGTGCTATTTATTTTGGCATGCGGCCTGTTCTGGGATGAAATACAGCATTTTTATTATTGCAGAATAAAGAGAGGTTTGAAGAGAACAAAAGTACAGAACTAGGTTTTAGTTTCAGAGCTACGCAGAGGAAGGGTTCTTTGAATTTGGATTTGAAATGAGAAATGACATTGAAATGGCATCATAAAAGGAATAAATGTGGAGAGGGAGAGAGGGTGAGTACACACTGCAGAACTTGGGTTGACCTGGGGAAATCCACGCTCCTGGGCACGGACACTGCTGGAACTGATTCTGACATGGCCTGGTAGTTATGGCTGGGCTGTTGCTGCTGTCTGCGAGTGACAGCCTCTGGTGGCTTTTGAATGGGTAGCCTCAGTCTTACCACTTCAGTGCCCGTTGGCTTTGAGAAGCAGTGTGGAGTGATGGAGTCCCACAAACTCTCCTGCCCCTAATTAACTGGGGACCTTTGCCTGGGCCACATGGCCTCTTTGCGCCTTTGTTTCCTCATTTGTAACTTGGAGATAATACCCTGGCCTGGGGGTCTGCCACCTGTTAGAATATAGGAGTTGGCGTGCGGCGGGCGGCAGAACAGTCCTGCGGGAATTCTGACCTTCGCCAGCGTACAGATTAGTGGAGGGGAAGAGCTACAGAGATAGAGCTCTGTATACTCAAAACGTCTGGAATACTGAGCTAATGAGTGAGGTTGGGGCCCGACTGGGCATCCTTGATCCTGGGTTACACCCAGAAGCAAAAAGTTACATAACAACACCAGGTGTTACAAGGTTCTGAACACTGGGGATACAACTTAATAGAACAAGTAATACATTGTGTCAAAATTTAAAATGTTCCAGAGGTTAAAAAATTTCATTTCAAAGAGGGATTCTGTTCAACAAAGCTATTTTCATATTCTATTGTATTGCAAATAGAGCCATAAATGTCGGTTATTCCTCAGTTCTACTTGCCTAACCACATCATACATCCACCCATTCCAAGAAACCCCCTTAGCTAAATTCCAAGGATCGTGGGCCAAAGTGGAGAAGCCTGGGGTGGGTGGGGGCTGGCAGTGGGTGTGGGCATGACAGTTCCCCCTTTTTCTTCCTGTGTTTAGAGCCCCCTTCCCAGCAGAAGCTCACAGAGCCTCTTCTTCAGAGTTGGAGGTCAGCTCCATTTAATTCCTGTAGCCTTGGAATGATTAATTTTACTAAAAGTTACGTCTACGAGAACTACTAAAGGTCTCCATAGAGTTTTCTTTTAGTGAAACTTGATCTAATGTGTGCTGCGTAATTATTTGAAACCCTTTGATCCGCTGTATGAAGGGCTGAAACCCAACTCTTGCCAAAGACAGTGAATGTGATTGAACTCTCCGAGGGAGTGGTGAGCTTGTGCAGCCTCAGGTCCACCTATACCCGTTTGCTCAGGTAGATCTTTGTTGCGTGGTGTCCAGCCTTGGAGACCAGGTCACACCGTTGGCCAGGTGGCCTCATCAGAGAGCAGTTGTCTTTCTCCGTGCCCAGAAGGTGTTTCATGTACAGTTGTGGGAGAAGCAGAGAAGCATGAGAATCAGGAACATGTCCCCTTGTCCGGAGAGCTAAGAATCAGTCCCAGCATCAGGCTGGCTCATAGAGATGTACAAATGTTTGCAAATCATTCCTGTTCCCAGCACAGGCTTGGAGTCACCTAGACTTGAAGATAAATTCTGTTTCAACACTTGTTTGTTATGTGATTTTGGACAGGCCTGTAAACTCTCAGCCTCAGTCTCCCTATCTGAAAAATGGGGACAATCGCAATCCTTTTGGGGTTAAGGTATGGATTGCATGAGATAATTCAGTTATGTCAAGTGCTCCAGACTCTACCTGTTGCTCAGTAATGTTATGGGCTGGAAGGAAAAGGAAAGGAGAAGAGAGAGGAGAGGCTGTGATGATGGAGAGATAAGCCAAGGGACCAAGCTTAGGGTTTGTGTCCTCACCCTTTTCTTCCCCAGGCTTCACCTTGAAGCTGCCAAGCCTCTGCCGTCGCCGGGAGGCTGCGCCCCTGGCTGCAGACTCACACCGGTAGCATTGAGAGCAGTACCCGTGTCCTCTGCCTGGGAACCCTCTCTTTCTGTTATTTACTTAAAAATTATATTTATTTTTAAAATTGAGATATAATTGACATAGAACATATTGTATTGGTTTTGTGTGTATAACATAACAATTTGATCTATGTGTACATTGCAGAATCATTACCTTAGTAAGTTTAGTTAACGTCCATCACCACCCATAGTCACAATTTTTTTTTCTCATGATGAGAACTTTAAGATCTGTCTTAGCAACTTTCAAATATACAGTACAATAGTATTAACTATAGTTACCATGCTGTGCATTACATCCCTAGGACTTAATTATCTTATAACTGGAAATTTATATCTTTTGACCCCTTCACACATTTCACCCATCCACTACCCCCTGGCAACCACCAATCTGTATTCTGTATCTATGAACTCGGATTTTCTTTTGTTTTGTTCGATTCCACATATAAATAAGATCATACAATATTTGGATTCCTCTGCATGATTTATTTCACTTAGCACAATGCTCTCAGGACCCATCAATGTTGTCACAAATGGCAAGATTTTCTTTTCATGGCTAAACAGTGTGTACACACACACACACACACTTAAGCTTCTTTAGAACCTTGTCTTTCTAAAAAGGGTGACCCTCCCTCACCTAGGTTAGACCTCCTTACCCCTAATGTCTCTACTGCTCCACGCTGCCCCCAAACTCAAGTACTTGTTGCCTGGAAGCTAAGGAGGAGCCCAGTGTGGGTGTTCCTTCTCCGAGGAGTGCCTTTGCCTGAAGAAACCCTGCCTCCCCTTCTGGGCTCTGTCCCGCCTGCGCCTGCGCGGGAAGGGCCTTCTGGCAGCTGCATGGAGTGTGCTTTGGAGGAGCCAAGTGGGAGCAGGGCCGTGATGTGGGAGGCAGTAGCAGTGCTCACAGAAAGAAGGTACACGAACCCTTCTGTTGGGCGAACTTCAGACTTCCTCTCATTCGGCAGGCCTGATCATTCCCAGGCCTCTCCAGTTTAGTTGTTCCCCCCTTTTTCCATCCTGGGTTGCTGGATGGCACCCCTCATCCTCTCTCACTCCCGATTTTCCCTGACCCTCTCCTCATCCTCTCCTCAGGCTTTTCTAGTCCGAGTTCATTGTAGAACACATTGAAATTCCTAGAACAACCCAGCTTCCACTGCTGATATGCCACCGATGATTCATTACTATGTGTGTGGAGTTACAATCACACACACACAAAACCCCAACAATTTTCTGGGTGATTTATTGTAATAGAGGCAGAAGGGAGGGTGTTTACCGCTTGAAGAAAGAGTCTGGGGAATGGATTAAAACTTTGCGGAAAATTTATGATCAAACCTCAAGGTACCCTAATTCGGAATCAGGACAGTATGCTGCTTGAGTAGTTACTGGCCACCTAGGTTGAACTACCCCTTGGTTGGAATTCACCTCTGAGTATCAGATCCTAATCAGCACCTGCAATGATCTCATCTTTGTCCTAAATCTGATGGGAATGTGTCATAAATCATTAGTAGGTACTCTGATTCCAGCTTTGTCACAAAATGGATTATAATTCTTTTACTATCATGGGGGTGAATAGATTTCAGCTTCTGCAAAGAATAAGGTACTGTTTACCAGAGCCCTGGGTCTGGTCCCAGCTCCTTCACTAATATGCCGAGAAGCCTTGTGTCAAGCGATGAACTTCCAAACCTCAGTTTCCTCATCTACCAAGTGAGCAGGTTGGACCAAACGCTTCCTTTGGTGTCAGCCATCACTCACGTTCTATGAAGACACACCCAGGGCTGGACTCTAGGAGTGCATCCAGGCCTTCATCTCCCTCCTCGGAGGGCTCCGAGCTCATGGCACCCCTGGGCGAAAGGCAAGGATGGTCATTGTTTTTGTGGTGCTGTGTCCCCTCCATGCTTAATCTAACTCTAATGAGACTGTCTACTCTTCTATCCTTCTTTCTTTCAGAACTGTCCAACAGATTTTACAGTCTGACCGGATGAAGAGTGCCTAAGAGACTGGCGGTTGGCATTCCCTAAGATGGAGAAGACAGATGGTAGGCAGGCTGCTTTGTGTTCCTTGGTCTAACGTGAGCATGTGAACTGAAAAGGGATTGTTATTGTAGATCCTGAAGATAGCCCAGGGAAGGCCTACAGGAGACATCCCCAGGCAGGCGGCTGGGAGACCCAAACCATGTATTTCTGGTATGAAGAAGTGAAGGTGGTAGGGAATGGGAATGAAGCTTTATGTTTATATCTGACTTGTGTAATTTTTGGAGTGTTTTCTCACCTCTGTCAAGCACCAAGGAGGGAGAGGGATGCTCTTACTTATTGCCCTCATTATAGCGAGGAGGAACTGGAAGTCTGAGAAAGAGGCACAATATGGTAAAATTCATACCTGTGTGATTCTCCATGTCATTTAACTCCTCTGAGCCTCATTCTCCTCCTGTATCCGTTAGCTTTGCTGTGTAAGCAAACCACTCAAAACATGTATTGACTTAAAGGTATTTAGTGTATCTCAAAAAGATTCCATAGGTTTGGCTGGGCCATTATTCTGGTCTGGGCCAGCATGGCTGACCTTTGCTGGGCCCATGTGTCTGTGGTCTTCTGGGTGACCGCCGGCTGGTTTAGAATGGCCACATTCACATGCCTTGTGGTTGATATGACTCCATATCACCTGGTGTGTTTGTGATGCTTGAGACAAGTGTCTCTGTCCAGCAGGTGAACTGGGGGCGGGAGGGTTGTTCACACGGCGACAAAATGGTTCCAAGTACAAGAACAGACCCCAATGTGCGAGTGATTTTCAGATCTCTACATGTGTCACATTTGCTGTTGACCTACTGGTCAAGGAAAATCACAAGGCTAAGCTCAGGGTTAGTGGAGAAAGGGAGTACTCAAGGGTGGGGTATAATTGTAGCAATTTTTGCAAACAGTGTATCGAACCTCCATAATTAGGTATGAGTACCTACTTCACAGGGGTGGTAAAGGACTAAATGAGATCATGCGTGTAAGGTTGGTGAGTAATACTATTTAGCACAACGAATATTTCAATGAATGTCCCCCCGCCACCCTCCCGCTCCCCAGGAAATTGGCCAAGGGTCATAGACTACTAGATCCTGATGATTTGATTTCTTACAGAGTGCTTTTTCCAGATTGCCAAATGTCAGGAGACAAGAGAGCCGATAATCCCCCTTGAATCACATGGCCCTTCACTGGCTCAGGACTCAGGGACCAGACAGCAGCTCCAGCCCTGCTTCTTTCTGCTTTGCAGATGCAGTCACCATAATTTTAAGGGTCTGCCTTTGTCCCCAGAGAGCTGCCTTTTCAGTGCATCCCTGGAAGTGGCCCTGCAGAACACCAACTAATTCCCTGAATGCCCCGGGGGCCTGTCATTTTTATCTGCCTCATTTGTCCCTGTTCAGCATCCTCTGACTGCTGCTCCCCACCTGATCAACCACAACCAGCTGAAGAAAGCACCCCCCCCCCCCCCCGCCCCCAGCACACACATCTCACAAAACGAAGGCAGGAGAGGAGAAACCTTCCGCCGCTGTCTTGGCCTTTTGAAGAGGCTAATTTAATTCCCCTTCTTTCCATCTGTATTTTTGGCCACTTTCTCTCTAGTTTCTGTTTTTCCCATTTCCTTCAGAATCTGAGTATAGGCTTTCGGACTTTTCCCCTCACTTTCGATGCATCTGATTGGTTTACTCACCTGCCAAACGTCTCTTTGTCCCTCGAGATGATGACTGTGGCATCTCCCTTCTTCCCTTGTCCCCTTTGAATGCCCTTTCTCTGACTGTGTATAACTCGTAGGCTGCGTTTGCAGGTCCGTTCCCGGGGTCTAGCGATCTGGTGCTTTCAGACCAGGCTCCAGGCATTCTCGATAGCTCAGAGCCTCAGATGTGGTACCTTTTCCTTCTGCCCTGATTCATTTTCTCAGTTTCTTCAGAATTATTTTCTTAGACTTTCTTTCCCTCTTGAGGCTGCAATCCTAACACAGAGTTACATAGTCCAAGGAGAGAGGACATTTCTGGCCGATCCTCCCTGCCCATCCCTGCCTTCCAGCCCCTTGTGGAGCACCTGCCCCATGGTCTCTGCCGAATTCTTGCCGGCAGTCACAGCTCTGCAGGAGAGGCATTCGTGTCGCCATGTTACGAATGGGGAAATTGAGGCATAGGGACATGAAACAATTTACCCTGAATTACAGAGATAAGCTGTGGCAGAGCCAGGATTCAAATCCAGCCAGTTTGTCTAGGTGTTGGTTTATTTGATCTGAGTTCGTTTTGAACAGACGCAGTCCTCATAATTAATTCTTACCCTGGCCAGATGCCCAGAATTCTGAGCTCCTGCATACCTGTCACCAGGTAGAATTAAGAGGAGCAGAGCTTAATGTAAGTGTGGGTCTCAGCATATCCGCTCAAGCTCCTTCGTTCAAGGTCCAGCTCTCCTCTTGCACAGAGCAGCAGGTGGCAGGCACGGCAGCACAGTGGGTCTGGGGGGGTCTGTGTGTGTCTGTCGGGGTGTGTCTTAGTGATATCCCAGAGTGCTAGCTTAGGAAGCACCTACTAAACCTGTCATCCCAGATAGCTGCTCAGCCTCATAGACTCCTTTGGTTCCCCTCAGTCTCCCTTGTGGAAGATTTTTGCCTTTGAATTTCCTGTTTCTAATTTGATGCTATTATTGTGTTTGTGCTCTGGACCTGCTCCCAGAGGCCACTGGGCAAATTCGTGCATTTCTACTGAACTGAGGCAAAAAGAAGATCATCGAATGCAGCCTCTTTTTTAGGAGAGTTCATGGCCTTCTGGGTCACAAATCTGCTCTCCACTTAACTTCAGACAATTATCTCCTCTCTGCTCTGGCCTGGCCTGTAATCCAGGGGGCCGCAGAGTGGACCGGGGGCCTGAGGATATTGCAGAGCAGCCTGGAAAACTAATGGAGAGACATTGCTCTCGTTTACTGAAACTACCACTGTGCCTCTTGGGGGGAAAGCAGGTTGGTAAAAAAGCGTGTTGGTAGATGTGAACTTATTTGGAGCTTTTTGGGTGCTGGAGTCCAGATATGTGCCAGAGAAGCCCTGGAACCCACGAGGACCGCCCGGGTATCTGCACCAATGCTTTATTCTGTTCCCTGCTGTGGCTGTGACGTAATTGCCCACAAATCCTGCAGCTTTATTTAGCAGTGAGGCTGGTGGGCTTGATTGTCAGAGTTCATGCGTTCAGCCTTCATGTGTCTATTGGCTTGGTTTATTCTTCGGAGATAACTGTACTTCCCTAAGCACAGAGGGCCACTTCACAAGCATGTGACACCTGCCAGGAGAAATCAGACAGGCAGGTGGGAAGAGCTCGGCCCCCATATGTCATCACCCTTAAGGGAAAAGCAACCCCAAATGTGCCCCAGGTAACACCATCATTTGCACCTTTTCTTTAACCCACCCTTTTCCTCCATTGCCTTTGGCTTCCCTCACCTGTCATCAGTCTCCCAACTGGTCTTCAGGTGTCTGGTTTGCATTTCTTCTCATCTTCTGCAAGAATGCTCTTTGTGAAATCACATTTGACCAAGTAACTCTCTGGTGTAAAACCCTTCCTAGCTCCCGTTACCTAGAGAATAAAGTCAAAGCTTGTTGGCATGCACACAATTACTCCGTGATCTGGCTCCTGCCGATCTTTCCAGTTTTGTCCTTTCCTACTCCCCATCCTTGCCAACCACACTTTAAGTTACAGCCATGTCAACTGCATTTAGAGAACCCCGAATTACTGTGGAATTTCACACCTCCATGCCTTTGTACGGTCTCTGACATATATATAGAATCTGCCCTGGCTAGCTATTGCTGCATAACGAACCACCCCAAAACTTAGTGGCTTAAAACACAGGCTCAGCTGAGTAGTTCTAACTTGGGGTCCCTCCTGTCATTGAAATCAGGTGATGGCAGAGGACAGAGTCAGCTGATGGCTCTTTTATTCATGCCTGACACCCAGGCCAGGATGGCTGGACCAGCTCAGGCTGGCTAAGTATCTCTCTCCCCCTCTTCACATGACCTCTCTATGGGGCTACTTGGGCTTCCTCACACCGTGGCCATCTCAGGGCAGCTGGACTTCTTACATGGCATCTGGCTTCACTGAAAGTGCATTCCAAGAGACCCAGGCAGGCCCGGCTGGTGTGGCTCAGTGGATTGAGCGTTGTCCCATGGAGAGGTCCCGGTTCAATACCGTGTCAGGGCACATGCCCAGGTTGCAGGCTCGATCCCCAATAGGGGGCATGCAGGAGGCAGCCAATGGATATTTCTCTCTCACATTGATGTTTCTATCTCTCTCTCTCTCTCTCTCTCTCTCTCCCTGTCTCTCTAAAAAAAACACTATAATATTAAAATAAAAACTATAATAACAAAATTTAAAAATAAGAGATCCAGGCAGAACTTACAGGCTTCTTATGACCCAGCCTTGGAACCGCCAGCATCATTTCTGCCTTTTATTCCCCCGGCCCCACAGGCCTGTCCAAATTCAAAGGGGTAGAGAAATGAACCTCACCTCTCATTGCGGGATTTTCTTGCCTGTCTAGAGAGGGTAGAAGTTGATGGTGGCCTTCTTGGGAATAAACAGCTACAATGTCTTTCACCCTCTTGTTCTGGCAAATTGACATTTGTTCTTTTTTTTTTTTTTTTTTAAATCCTCATCCGAGGACATTTTTCCATTTTTTGTACAGACAGAGTGGGAGGGAGAGAGAGGAAGAGAGAGAGAGGGAAACATCGATGTGAAAGGGACACATCGAGTGGCTGCCACCCGCACGGCCAACCAGGGCCGGGGACAAACTGCAACTGAGGTACGCGCCCTTAGCGGGAACCGAACCCGGGTCTCTCCGGACCGCAGGCGGACGCTCTAACCGCTGAGCCAAACTGGCCAGGGCGACATTTGTTCATTTTTTAACTCCAGTCCTATGTCACTTCTGTGAAGTCATCCCTTTTCTAGCAGAATTAATCTCCAAGTCCAAGGAAGTTATTCCAGAAAACCTGGGAAAATGAATCGGCAACAAAGACTGCTCCTTAAGCATGCGTATGTTATGATCCTTGTCACACTGCATTGCACTGGTTCGTGTATCTATCTACTCGACCACACGTTTTTTGAGGCAGTGCTACACCTGATTTATTTCTGCATCCTTAGGATTTAGCTTAGCAATCAACACGCAGGTGCTCAATAAATAGTGGTTGAGGTGAGTGAGTTGAGTTACTACTATTTTGTAATTTTGTCCCCAAGACCTATTACTCTTAAAACTAAGCAGTCAGTCAGTTAAAAAGAATCGGTGGAGTGCCTTCTGTGTACCCGGCAAATCAGCCTCCGTTATGGGGCTTCACTTCTCAATATTGGAGGCTTCTGCAAAAAAAGCTACAATGTTGAGCATGTGTTGAATGTTTGTCATGTGCTTGGCATTGTTCTAAGCACTTCATCAACATTAATTTTTTAAATTTATTTTATTAAAATAAAAATTTTTTTTTTCTTTATTGATTTTTGGAGAGAGAGATGGAAACATTGATGAGAGAGAACATCGATTGGCTGCCTCCTGCATGCCCCCCACTGGGGATTTGGCCCACAACCTGGGCATGTGCTCAGACCAGGAATCGAACCAGCGACCTCTTGGTGCATGGGTCGATGCTCAACCACTGAGCCACACCAGCCGGGCTATGTATATTTATTTATTTTTTTATTTTTTTATCCTCACCCGAGGATATTTTTCCATTTTTTGTACAGATAGAGTGGGAGGGAGAGAGAGGAAGGGAGAGAGAGAGAAACATCGACGTGAAGGGACACATCGAGTGGCTGCCACCCGCACAACCAACCAGGGCCGGGGACAAACTGCAACGAGGTACATGCCCTTAGCAGGAACCGAACCCGGGTCTCTCCGGACTGCAGGCTGACGCTCTAACCGCTGAGCCAAACTGGCCAGGGCCGGGCTATGTATATTAATTAATCAGTCCTCCCACTAACCTCATGTACCTATTATTCCCATCTGATAGATGATGAAACACAGGGATGCTAAGTAATTTCCCCAAGGTCACAGAGCTGAAATATAGACCAGTCTCCAAAGTATGTATTTTTGGCCTCTGTGCTCTCCACCAATGTTCTGTCCTGAACTCAGCATTTCAGAGCATTTAGCAGAATGTCACAGAAATAAGAAGGGGTGTCACATGAGGAACATCAAAGGAACAACAACTATTTCACCGAAAGAAAGAGCTCTTTGGGGACAAGCTCCTTTGGATTCAAACACTTGAAAGACTGACTTGTTCTCAGAGACTTCTGCTGGAGTCAAGAAAGTCAGTGGTGCCTCAGTGTGAGGGAGAACTTGCTGATGTCCCCTGAGAGTTTGGGCTGCCCTGAAAAGTCATGAGTCCCCCCATGAGTACACCACTGTGCCTTTGACATTAATCGTCCCTTTCCCCTCAACACCTTTTTTCTAGGCTGTGAAAAATGTGGTATTTCCTTACTTGGCATGAGTTTTTGAAAGTGAAATTCATGTTTGTTAAGCACTAAGAAGTTTTCAGGTGAAAAAGAAGATGGATGATGATGGGTTCCTGTTCTCTCTGGTGAGGAAGCTTGAAAAATGTGGAAGGCACAACTCCTGGGTGTCTCTGGCTTTACCAAGATTTCCCAGTGCCTATTTGAATAATCTAAGGTTCTTTTTTAACACTGAGACAATTGTATACCTCATCCTTTGAAACTTTCCGTATTCATAATTGCCCATTAGTACCCTGATTAGGCAAACTTCTGGCCACTTTTGTTCAGCAAGTACATGACTCAAACCCAGTGAAACGGTTTTATTTTGCTGGTCTGCAGGCAGATTCCATAGTATGACCTACTGAAAACTGGAAACTATTTCCTCCACCTGTTTCCTTGCAGACTTTGGCTAAGCACATGTTGATGCATTAACATGGTTTCTTAGCACAGCCAAAGGACTGTGAGCATCTCAGCACAATGTAGAAGCTGGAACATTTAGCAGAAGTCACAGCTATTGGGCCTCACCACCTGTCATGCTTATTCACATTGTGCTTTTTTACATGCCTTCTGTCCTTCCAGCCAAAGACCAGTCCTCTCAGGGGGATGAAGAGAAAGACCCTCCAAAGAGTCATCCCTACTCCGTGGAGACCCCTTACGGCTTTCACTTAGACCTGGACTTCCTCAAGTACGTGGATGACATTGAGAAGGGAAACACCATCAAAAGGATTCCTATCCACAGGAGGGCCAAGCAGGCCAAGTTCAGCACTTTGCCCCGAAACTTCAGCCTTCCCGACAGTGGGCCTCGCTGGCATGCTGCTCTTTCCCACCAACACTGGTCCCCAGTGGTGTGCAGGAAGGTGTCGCTGGGGACAGAGGAGCGAGCCCAGTCACTGCCGCCTGGTGATCACCCCCAAGTCTCCGTGAGCGGCAGTGAGGTGACCTGCCCCAAGAGGGCCCTGTTGGCAGAGACCGCCAGGCCCCTGGAGGCCTCGGCCCCCAGGGAGGCTGAGCTCGCCTCCGGGACTGGCCGGCCCCAGCTTCTGAGAGCATCGAGCATGCCAGCCGCACTGCTGCAAAACAGGGCCGCAGAGGACCCCAGCCTAACCGCAGGCCCCCCCGCACCTCCCGCGCTCCCTCCACTTCGGGCGGAAGGCAGTGTCTGTGACAGCACCTTTGGCCCCGCAGAAGGATTTGCGGGTGTTCACAACTCCATCCCGCGAGCAGCAACCCAACCAAAAGGCAAAGAGTTTGGAGACCTGGTGCCAGGGATTCCAGAGCTGGTACGGGAAAGGGCTGAGCCTGCGGAGGGTGCAGAAGGGGCCGCATCTCCCCTCTCTCCCCCAGGTCCTCCCCTCTCATCCCAGAATGCATTTGTAGTTTCAGAGGATGCGAAAGAAGAACAGAAACCCAGAGAAGCAGAGCTGGTGTTCACCCCCGGCTCCCTCACACCAAGCCCCCCTCCTCTGCCATCACCCATCCCCGAGAATGAGCTCCCACTGGAAGAAATCGAGCTCAACATCTGCGAGATCCCGCCCCCGCCCCCCGTCGAGGCAGATGTGCGGAGCATTGGCATCCGGGTCACGGAGGAGAGCCTGGGCCTCGCCACGACGGAGGCTGGCAGCATCTCCAGCCTGAAGCAGCAGCTCCTGGACCTGGAGGGAGAGCTGTCCGGAAAAACCGAGGAACTGGCCCAGGTCAGAGCTGCCCTCCAGCAGCAGGGGGAGGAAATCAAGGCTAAGAGGCAGAGGATTCAAGAGCTGGAGTGCACTGTAGCTCAACTGGCCGAAAAGCTAAGCCACGAGAACACCAAGGATGCTCAGGGCCAGGCCGACGCCATGGTCAACACTGACCCTGTCCACGGACTCTTGACCAGGGAGTTGTGTGACAAGAGCATTGGTGTTGACCTTCTGAGCAGCACAGGATCTGAATGTTGGGGGGCCAGCGGAGAGGAGAATGACCTCCGATGTGGGCCGGACAGTCACAAACGGGGAGATCAGAGCCCGGCAGAATGTGTGCCACCATCCCAGCTGTCACTGCCTCAGGACCCTGAGATGGTCCTCACCTCTTCTTTACGTAGCTGCCTGTCCACCGAGCTCAGGATCGAAGAAGCAGGCTCCGAGCAGGAGGGAGACCCTCAGGTGGGAGCCGGGGGTCTGGTCAGGGGAGCAGGGGACTCTTCATGGAGCAGTGACACAAAGGCTCCCCCAGCAGGGAAGGAGGAGGCCGGTTCAGAGCTCCCAGGGAAGGAGGGCCCAGGAAGGCCCCCAAGCTCACCCACAGATGCCACTATTGGGCAGTACGTTAAGAAGATCCAGGAGCTCCTGCAGGAACAGTGGAGCTGCCTGGAGCACGGGTACCCGGAGCTGGCCAGCGCCATCAAGCAGCCGGCCTCCAAGCTCAGCAGCATCCAGCGCCAGCTCCTGAGCTCCCTCAACCTGCTGCTGTCCGCCTACTCGGCCCAAGCTCCACCCCAGAAGGAGTCCCCGGTCCCTTCCTCCTCCCCACCGCCAATGGGTAAATGCTGGTGCCTGAGACAGGGAACCATTTCTCCTTCATGGGACGAGTCAAATGGGGAAGGGGCTTTAATTGCATGCATATGTTTTAAAAAGATTTAAGCACCTCCAGGAACCTAGTGTAATAAAACCTGATCCGTGTAACAGTGCAGGCTCTGTGCCCCACTGTATCCTTGCTCCAAGTTAGGATGGACTGCAGGGCTCCATGCACAGCTGTTCAGATATAGCACAGGGCACAGAGATGCCAGCCAGGGTGGGTACATTGGAGTGTAAATCCAGCCCACTATTTACCCCTTCACTCGCCAAGCCTGTGAAGGAGCAATAGGTGCCTGTTTCTCATTTGCACTGCACAAAGGCAAGGTTTAGGGTGCTAAACCTCAGCCTCCCTTCATTGTTTCCTGGGCTCTTGCATTCCTGAGATCCTCTCTGGTTCTTACACATTAGAGGTTTTCTCTAGCCTAGTTTTGCAGGAACATTATATTGAGATCTGAAATGTTTCACTGAACAGTGTGCTCATGCTTGAGACAGAGGGAGGTGGAGGGGGAGAGAGAGAGAGAGAGATTGAGTGATACTCACATGTCGCTCTTTTGGCTGAGCCGCACTTCCTCTTGGAACAGACCCTCCACTGTTGAGTAAAGTGGAACCACATTTTGCTTTGCTCAACCAGCAGCGTGCGAGTCTGCTTCCTGCCGCCGCTTGCAAGTGGCCTGCTTTCTCATTATTTCACGCTAGTTCTAGTCTCGCCCATTAGGAAATGCCTCCTATACCTTTGAGCACAGCCACAGAAGATGTGTGCTCTTGCTCCTGTGCCTGTCCCACATCACAAAGGGTCAACCGCCCGAGGTGGGGGCAGAGGTGGGACCAGGAGACCCATGAATAAGTTCTGTGCTTAGAGATCACTAACTACCTCCTTCTCTGCCCTTTACTGAGAAAGGCCAAGCCTCTGGTGTCCCAGCTGTAAGACAGGGACCACAGTGGCACCCATACCACATAGCTCTTTCGAAAGAGTGCTCCCACTGTCGTGCACACAGGGAGGGGCTTTGTCACCAGAAGGCTAGGCCTCCTCAACGACCCTCCTCCGAATGTTTGATTGACATGATCTAGCTCCCTGTCCCTTTCTGCCTCTTCACACACCTTCATTCTGTGAGTCTCCGTTTTGCTGCATTCTGGGGCATCTCCAAGGTCATTCTAACCTGTGATGTTGTGTCTGCCTAGAGCTCTCCCCGTCGACCAGCCTTAAATCCATAATGAAAAAGAAAGACTATGGCTTCCGTGCAGGAGGTAATGGGACCAAAAAGAACCTTCAGTTTGTTGGGGTTAACGGTGGGTAAGCATCGCTCGTGCAGCCCAGACTGCCCTCCGCACTACCTGTTCTCTGTCGCCCTTAGCGCTCTCGTTTCCCAGGGGAAAGCATCTGGTTTCCATTCTTCTTCAAGGGGATTAATCTCCACGGCCCTTTCAAACTCCAGCTCGGGTTTGCATGTGTTTGGCTCCTTGCCAGCCGTGGTGGTCTGTCGGAGCCTGTGTTTTAATATGTTTTAGCTTTGGTGTCCCGGGGGCCAGGATCCAGGTGGCTTCTGGGAGTTTGGGGGCACATGGGCCCTTAAGGAAGACGTGCAGGCTGAACCACAACACTAAAACTAGGACAAACTCTTCATCTGTTGAACTTTAAATGTCATCCATTTCTTTTTATTTTTATTTTTCTTCTTTCTGTTACTAACTTAACTGCAAACCAAACCAACATTTTTGGGGATGAAGAAAAACAAGCGGTGTCTGTGGACTCAGACCATGAACCAAACCTGATATATTCCAGAGAGTAAATCATTGGATTTAGAATATTTTCTAAATGTGTCATTCAACAAACTTTTTTGAAATGCCAGCCATGTCTTAGGTGGTGGGGACAAACATGTCAAGGAAACCGTGGTCCCTGCCTCTAGCTCACAGTGAGGCCTGGGCAGAGATGATGCAGGAGTAGAGAGCCGCTGGTGTGAGGAGAGTTCTGCAGAGAAGGAAGCGTAGGGTGCTGTGGAAGCCCAGGAGGGGCACCTGGCCCAGGAGGGGCTCCCGGGGGCTGCCCGGAAGAGGTCGGAACCCCTGCTAATTTGGGCCAGACCAGAAGGAAGACACCAGAGTCAAACAACAGTGACATCACTGTTGCACGTTCTGTGAGGGAAACGTCAGAATTGATGAATGGGTCACGGCAGAGTTGCTGTTCCCACCCCTGCTCATGTCAGACACTGGGGCCCGAGGGGAAACGGTTCTGTGCCGGGCTTTCACCAATCATGTACAGAAAAGGAGGATCGGCCTCATCTCAAAGTCTAAGCAGGCCCCCAGTGTGGCTCCTGCCTTTCCTCCTTCAGATGTGCCAGGTCAGGCCCATCTCGGGGGCCTTGCCTCTGCTGTCCCCCCAGTTAAAGTGCTTTTTTTCCCAGATATCCCTCAGCATTTGTCACTACAGTGCAGTGGTTCCCAACCTTGGCTGCACCTTGGACATCCTGGGGAGCCCTAAAAATAACGATGCCTGAGTCTTCTCCCTGAAGACTCCAGTTTAATGAGTCTGGAGTGTGGTACAGGTATTGGGGATTTTAAACCCCCTGAAGTAATTCTACTGTGCATCCAAGGTTAAAAACTTCTGCTCGAATTAAAGTAGCTCCTTCTCCCATCACTCTGTCCCATGGCCCTTTATTATTTTAGTCAATGTTCAGTATTTACTATCTGAATATATTATTCATATGTTTATTTTCTGCCTCTCCCTATTAGAATATAAGATCAGTTAAGACTTTGGTATAGCATTTAGAACAGAGCCTGGCACATAGCAGTAAATTTCTGGTGAATGAATAAACTTCCAGGTGAAGTTTTTATGGAAGTAATTTTAAGACGAGAACTGCTTGATGAATATATTGTATCCCCTATTGTATCTCTTAATCACAAAAGTAAAAGGTTGTTCTGAGCACAATAGAGGAAGAACTATCTGGGATTTCAACAAGACAGAATGTGAGCATACCAAGACACAGGCTGGGTTTGCAGAAACAGTGACCATAGGGGCCATCATTCAGAGAAAGGGCTTGAGGGGGTCAGTGGAAGCCGTGGGCTCTGGTCTCCCCGGTTTCTGGCAGTGTCTAGTGGCCCGAAAGCCCGAAATCTTCATCTTCTGGAGGCCTCCTGTTGACCATTAGCAGAGGAATCAAATCTTCCAGGACCTTCTTCCATGGCCTCTGATCTGCCACCTGAACATAAGGATTATGCTGGAGAGGGAGGACCGCGGGCGTAGGGGCGGTCCGCGCCCGCACTTTGCTGATCCCAGCAGTGGTTGAAATAAGCTGCAGCTGAGAAAGGCAAATGCCGGGTTCAGGTATCCCGACTCAGGTAGAAGCTGGGCTAGGACAGAGGGCTAATGGGAAGTCTCAGTCACCCAAAGCATACAGATCTGTCAGGCAATTCAGAAAACTGAGGGTGGGGATGGGAAACACTTGCTGAGATGTGGGCCCTGCTCTGGACAGGGAGTCAGGATTCCGACAGCAAATGCTTTCTTAAGACCCTTGGATCGCCTGTCTGGATCCCCCGAACGCACTGGTCAGTAGGGCACGTGCTGTGTGTGTTTTTGCTGCAAAGACCTTCGTTAATTACCTTTTCTCCCCACATGGCCTCTGGCATTGGAGTCAGAGTTCTTCACACTTTTCTCTGACACCAAGGTCCCTGGGAGTCCCCTTGTCCAGGCCTGAAGGTGTAGAGAATGGAGGGTATGGTCAGCAAGCTGGGCAAGGCTACCTAAAGCCTAACTAGGGCTCATTCATCTTGACATGGGCATTGGGCAGGTAGCATAGAACGAGTCACCTCTGTCTCCTTTCCCAGCTACGAGACCACCTCAAGTGAGGAGACCAGCGGGGAGGACAGCTCCTCGGAGGACTTGTCCAGCAGCGAGGCTGAGAAGAAATGTGATGGCCCGGAACACAAGCGGGGCAGGGATGCCCACCCCGGCTGCAAGGTGGGGCAAGGCATCTCCGAGGGCACCCACGGCACCGGCCAGCAGAGAGGGCCTGGGGAAGAACTCTCCCTCCCCAAGGCCGAGAGGTGAGTCAGAGGGTATGGATGGGGACACTGAAACCTCTGAGAAAGGACAAGGGCATTTATTTATTCTTTTATCAATCATTTGTTCCTTTGTTTACTCGTTCACCGATATCTATTGAGTTTCTAATCTATGCCGGGTACTGTGCACTGGTTGATCTAAAGGGACGTAACTCCTGCCTGCGGGAGATGCTATCATAGGCTGAGCCCTACGCATAAAGCTAGCATTGACCTAGCACTGACAGTGGGAAGGACTTTACATGTATTATCTTACATCGTTTTTAAACCAATTCTGCGAGGTAGAAATGTTTATAATCCCCACCTGACAGGTGTGGAAACAGAGGCTCAGGGAAGTTAAATGACCCAGCTCGCAGAGCCGGGGTTCCCACCAGGTCTTTTCTGATTCTTATCCACCCCTTTCTGCCTCTCCCACTGACGAGGCTGATGTACCTTTTAAAGTGATGGGAGGTCCTTTGGTATGATGTAAAGAGTTCTTTCCAGTTGGTTGGACTCAAACCCTACGTCTGCACAGCGTTGTGTTAGACAGGGTACTTAAACTGCGGTCGCCTCAGTTTCCTCACCTGTAAAGTGCGGATAACAGCGGCCTAATGTGTGTGCGATCTCAGGACTGGGTGAGGAAAAGCATGTGCGATGCCCGGCGTGGTGCCTCCACACAGTAGCCTCCCGGTGAACGGTGGAAATGAGCATAGTGAAAAGGCGGTGTGCTCGGCTCACGTCAGAGGAGTTCAGAAGCCGAGCTCATTACCAGGACACTGTTCACCCGTATTTCTAAGGAATGCCCCTTATCCTGGGCAGTTGCCCAGTGTGGGTGTTCGAGCTGCTGAGAATGGATGTCAAGGTAGAGACTAACCTTTTTTTTTTTTTATTAAATCAACATTGAGACTGATACATATATTTTTTTCTTTAGATATAAACCCTCCGAAGAATTTCTTAATGCATGCCGGGCATTGAGCCAACATCTGCCAGAAACAGGGACCACTACCGACCAGCTCTTGGTACTCTGATTTTTCATTGTCGTGCAGCGATTTCCATACTGTTTAAGTGCTTAGTTCCCACTGGGTGACTTTGGTCCCTTGCCGGAGGCAGCCGTGAGTGGGCGCAGGGGAGTCCCCGTCCTCTGGGTTGCTCTCTCATCTGCCCAGACTCTGCCCGTTGCCTATGGTGATGGATTATGCTGAGAAAGTGGAGCTGATGGATGTGCACAGGAAGGCAGCGTGGCACTCAGAGGCTTTTACCAAGGGTTATTAGGCATCGTACCCTGGATGTCTGTCATAAAATTATTTGTGGCTTAGGCTCAAAATTGCCTTGCAGTTTGAGCAAACTGTGCGGGGAGTGGAAGAGAGCCTGTGGAATAGCAACCGCGGGCTCCACTGCCTGGGGTGCTTCTGTGAGACACTGGGCCAGCCAGCTTGACACTCAGGGCCTCAGTTTCCCCACTAATAAAACAAGGGTGGTAGGCAGCACGTCTCCAGTTACCCTCAAGCCCTGGCATTTTATCTTGCAGTCCTTACTCTTTTTCTTGAAGTGTACTTATGGGCCAAGAGACCAAGAGCAAGAAACCGTATCTGTTTGCTCCTTAACACCTTTATGGCCCATGGAGATTTAAACATGTAACAAGTGACTTCGTCTTTTAATCAAGAGATACAAGTTGTGAGAGCAGCTGATAAGATCCTATGTGTGCGCGAGCAGTGTGGCTCATCCCACGCACCGAAAGGATGTGAGTTCGATTTCCGATCAGGGCACATGCCCAGGTTGCAGGCTCCATCCCTGGTAGGAGGCATGCAGGAAGCAGTGGATTGATGTTTCCCTTTCACATTGATGTTTCTCTCTCTCTTTCTTCCTTCCTCTCTCTAAAAATCAATCTATCTATCTATCTATCTATCTATCTATCTATCTAAAGACTCAATATATAACAGCTTGTCATCATCTTCAAAGCCAACTTTCTTCTCCTTTGCAGAAGAACTGTAGGAGTGAAAATGATCAATTCAGCCCAACCCATTCTTGTTACTCTATCTTAGCTGGTTTGGCAAATAAATGTTCCCAAATTGCTAAAGAACCAATAAGCAATGTGGATGTTGATTAAAACTCCTGTTACTGGCCCTGGCCGATTTGGCTCTGCAGTTAGAGCATCAGCCCACAGACCAAAGAGTCATGGGTTCGATTCCGGCTAAGGGCATGTACCTTGGTTGTGGTTCATCCCTGGCCCTAGTTGGAGTCCTGTGGGAGGCAACCAATGGGTCTGTCCCCCTCATGTCAATGTTTCTCTCTCTCTCTCTTCCTCCTTCCTTCCCTCTCATTCTATCTGAAGATAAATGGAAAAATATCCTTAGGTGAGGATTCAAAAATCCAAAAACAAAAAAACCTCCTGTTACTTATTCTTAAATGAATTACAGAACTAAGTTATTTCTTAGCTCTCCATTTAAAATCTATCACTGTGTTCCTTAATATTAGGATCTTTCTTCAGATTCTTGTAAAGATTCCATGGGTAAAGGAGATATTATATAAATAAGTGTTCCAGCCACAAAAGATTCTACTGTTTCTGCCTAGAAAAGTGATGAGAGAATATGCCTGGCACCATACCCATGTTAGGGTTGAGCACAAGGACCCCGCCACCCTACCTTAGAGAAAAATTAGGTCGTACAGGACCTCACTCTGTAGAGCCCATGGGAGGTTGGGGAGCTAGCTCCTTTCTGCACTCCCATTTTGTAGACAAGTAAGGTTCAAAAGGTTATGTGACTTCCAAGGTCACACAGCTGAGCCAGGACTTCCACCTGGGTTATGTGACTTCCAAGGTCACACAGCTGAGCCACGTTGGTTTAGTGACTACAAGCCCAGTGCTCTTTCCAGGATGAGTATGAAATCGTTTCTGAGACTCAAATTCCCATAGATAAGTAATCTGACCATGTTCCACTTTAAACACTGAGGTCATGTCACACACAGAGGTGATGCCATTTGCTCTGGAACTCTCCTCACTCGTGGTTCCAAGGAGATGAACCCTGTAGATAGTGGGTTCCTGCCATGGGTTGTGCAACTGTTTCCTCCGAAGGTCCTAGCAAAGCTTAAAAGCCACATGTAATTCAAGCACAGCTGCTTGGGTTGGTTTCCAGCGTACGTTGGTTGTGCTGTTTGCCTTAGCCTTCAGCGTGCATTTCTCCAATTAGTAAAACGATGTGACTTGCCACCTATGTCTATTGAAAACACGCAGACGTTCTGGTAGAGTCTGGGCTGAGGTCCATATAGCCTGGCTGTATGCACAAGAAAGAGAAAGCCTTGGATCTCCTGTGCAGACGGGAGATGGGACCTGAGCTTACAGTAGACTCAAACGGCCCCAGCGAAGCGCTTTGTTGCTAAATACTGTGCTGTGGTCCCAGCCCCTCTCCTCACACGGGGCAGCAGCACTGCCAGGTCCAAAGTGTCCCTGCTGCTGCATCCTCAAGCCCTGCTCCACGCCCTCCAGGAGGGATCACATGGAGAGGTGGAGGGAGCGAAGGAACAGAGATGGAAGCATCCAAAACCGACTTTTCCTAGTGGAAACTAGCACCCTAGCTGGAGCTCCGCAGGCCAGATAACCTTCTGGAACTGGAGTCTTTTGGTATTTCAGAGGCAGAGCTTGAACACCATCAGTCAGGAGTGGTTTCGTGTCTCTAGCCGGAAGTCGTCTAGTCCTGCTGTGGTGGCCGCCTACCTGCAGCCTCACTCCCCACACTTCCTCAAGCTGCTCGTCAACTTGGCTGACGGCAACGGGAACACGGCCCTTCACTACAGTGTGTCCCACTCCAATTTCTCCATCGTCAAGCTGCTGCTGGAGACAGGTCAGGAAGGGTTGCACCTTGCGGTGGGCTCCACTCTGAAGGGCAGTTCTTGTACTCACTTCCTTCCAGTAAGGGGATGCTTCCACTGTGAGTCCCTCCTGTATTCTAGGAACTGGGCTCGACCATTTAGCCTTTATCATATTATATATTCTTCACCACTCTCTTGCGATGTGGGTATTATTATTCTCATGCTGCAGTTGGTAAATGCTGACATCACACTTTGTATTCAGTCTGTCTAACTCCAGAGCTACACCACTTTGCCAACAAGAAAGGGCACACATTACCATCTTTATAGATACTCTTTTTTTTGGGGGGGGGGTATGTGCCCCTAATGGGAACCAAACCTGGGACTCTCTGGTCCACAGGCTGATGCTCCAACTGCTGAGCCAGGGCTTTTTATGGGTACTGTTAACAAAGGCCATGATGGGGGTAGGGGGGCTGGATGAAAGAGGTGAAGAGATTAAGCAAAACACAAAACTAATAGACAACAGTATGATGATTACCGAGGGAAGTGGGGGTGGGGCAGGTAGAAGAGGGTTAAGAGAAGATAAATGGGCCCTGGCCGGTTTGGCTCAGTGGTTGGAGTGTTGGCCTGCAGACCAGAGAGTCCCAGGTTCAGTTCCTGCTAGGCCCCAGCAGCTAGGGGCACGTACCAAAAAACAAAACAAAACAAACAAACAAAAAAACAATTGTGTCCTTGCCCTGGCCAGTTTGGCTCAGCGGTTAGAGCGTCGGCCTGCAGTCCGGAGAGACCCGGGTTCGGTTCCCGCTAAGGGCACATACTTCGGTTGCAGTTTGTCCCCGGCCCTGATTGGTTGTGCGGGTGGCAGCCACTCGATGTGTCCCTTCACGTCGATGTTTCTCTCTCTCTCTCCCTTCCTCTCTCTCATCCCACTCTATCTGTACAAAAAATGGAAAAATATCCTCGCCCTGGCCGGTTTGGCTCAGCGGTTAGAGCGTCCGCCTGCGGTCCGGAGAGACCCGGGTTCGGTTCCCGCTAAGGGCATGTACCTCGGTTGCAGTTTGTCCCCGGCCCTGGTTGGTCGTGCGGGTGGCAGCCACTCGATGTGGCCCTTTCACATCGATGTTTCCCTCTCTCTCTCTTCCTCTCTCTCCCTCCCACTCTGTCTGTACAAAAAATGGAAAAATGTCCTCGGATGAGGATAAAAAAAAAAAAAGAGAAGATAAATGGTGATGGAAAGAGACATGACTTGGGGTGGCGAACACACAACACAATGTCCAGATGATGTTAATAGAATTGTACCCTTTAAACCTAAATAATTTTCTTAACCAGTATAACCCCAATAAACTCAGTTTAAAGAAACAAAGGCCATGGCTCCATTTGACCAGTTTGACTCAGTTCAGTTCATTCATCCTTCATCAGATATGTGTGGACTACAGTGAGGTCCACCCTGGCTGCTACCGGATGGGAAGGTGAGGTGGTGAGAGCCCTCTGCTTTCCAGGGGCTCACAGCCTGCTCACCAAGTGGGGCAGGTGACGGCCACGAGAGGGAGGTAGAGGATGTGAGTTGGGGTCTCAGAAGAAGTGAGATTGTGTCGAGTTTGGGGAACAGCAAAGGTGCCCCGAGGCAGACGGAATTCCAGCAAGCAGAGAACTGTCCCAGGCCAGGAGGACGTTGTGAAAGTTGAGAAAGGAAAACCTGGTGCCCAGAGGCTCCCAGTTCAAAGAGGACACGAATTAAGGTTGGGAGGTAAGTTGGAACCACAGCACGGAGGACCTCGAGTGCCAGGCTGTCTGGAAGGCAGCAGGAAGTTAGTGTGGGGTTTGGGGGGGGCACTGAAAGTCCATTGGGTGGCAGGGTTGGGTTAGCGGAGGGAGCACGGGCAGGAGGTGAAGGCCAAGCGGGGAGCCATTGCAGAGGGAGTGAGGGGTTGCAGCGGGCAGAGGAGCAAAAACACCTCTGGGGAGTTGGCGAGCGACCAGCTGCGAGGGCAGGGGAGTGGGAGCCCTCCGATAGGTGCAGTTTGGATGGGTGAGAAGACAGACGCTGCCAGAGAACAAGTGTGGGGAAAGCAAAGAGGATAATTTATTCCGTTTGGGGCAGATTTTGAGTTTCCAGTGGGTTACCCAAGTGACATGTCCAGTCGGCTATTGAGAATCCCAGTTCCACAATTAATGGGCAACAGAGTTTGGGGTGGGGCCAGCTAGACTGTAGCCAGTGGCGTCCCTTTGGTGGAGAGGGATACAAATGCATCTTTTCAGGCTACGAAGCAGAAATTTCTTTTGAATTCTCATTTAATACTTCATCTTTAAAATATACCAGTTTTGCCGAGCTGGTGTGGCTCAGGGGATGGAGAGGTCCTGGTCCGATTGGGGTCAGGGCTCATGCCCGGGTTGTGGGCTCGATCCCCAGTAGGGGGTGTGCAGGAGGCGGCCAGTTGATGTTCTCTCTCACATGGATGTTTCTCCCTCTCCCTCTCGCTCTACAATAGCAATTTTATACATATTTGGGGACCATGTTGGGGAAGAAGCTCTGAGGTGTTCACTGCAATGTTTTCGTATTAGATGAGAAAGTTGTGCCTTAAGTTAGTAATACTCTGTATGTTACCTTGATAATGAGATTTGAGGGGGAAATTCCATATAAAAGTTTTTTGTTTTAAAAAAAAAATTCTTTTTCTTTAGTTATTTTTATAGAGAGAGGAAGGGAGAGGGAGAGAGAAATAGATACATCGATGAGAGAGAACATTGGCCGCCTCCTGCATGCCCCCCACTGGGGATCGGGCCCACAACCTGGGCATGTGTCCTGACTGGGAATCGAACCGGCGACTTCTTGGTGCAGGGGTCGACTGAGCCACACCAGCCAGGCCAGATAGAAGTTTTTATTCCAAATCAAATTTTGTAAACTTGGAAACAAACTTTTTGTCTCTATGAAAGTTAGTTACTTAACACATTGTGTTTATAAAATAACAAATTTCTTTTTTTAATAAAATACAAATAGGTCTTAATAAACACACACACACATATATATACACACACTAATTTTTCCATTGGTATGAAATGTGTATTCTTAATTGTTTTAACATAAAAAATTATGGAGTATTTGTTTTCTGTTTTTCTTCTTTCTTTAGAGAGAGAGGAAGGAGGGGGTGGGGGGGCATCAATTGGCTGCCTCCCAGGGACTGAGTCCACAACCTGGGTATATGCCCTGACTGGGAATCGAACTGGCGACCTTTTCGGTGCCTGGACCAATGCTCAACCAACTGAGCCACACCGGCCAGGGCTTCCCCTTGTTTTTCAAGTGAGATGGTTGTTCCTAGATTTCCCACGTTTATCCTGTGGCATTTTTCACGCCCGCTGGTACATTTCACAGCATATCACCAGGCCTTGGAAAGGACACACAAACAGCCATCGGCCTAAGAGTTACACACAGACACAGAGAGAGTGAAACTGAAAAGGCATAGCTGTGGGCAGTGTGTGGCCAGGTGAGTGATGGGCTCTAGAACCTATAGGCCTGCATCCTGTCCCACTTCACCTTCACTTTGGCAGTTTCTGTAGCGTCTCTGACCTTCAGTGTCCTCATCTGTAAAAAGGGAATAACATCTGTGCTCCACTTTCAGAGATCAAGTCATGGTCATCGGCCCACTTCGCCATCTCCGATTCTGCCGTGGCCTTTCCTTACTGGGTATCCTCAGAAAACCTGTGACAAAAAGTAGCCAGTTTTAAGGGCCGCTAAAAATATAAAACATTGATTCCACCCCTGGGAAAGGACTGCCGACTGCATTTCCGCCAGCAGCGGCCGGTCGAGCGGGCCGAGGCCATCTCGCTCTGGCCCTCGGGAGCTGCTGCAGCTCACTGCTTCTCTCGCAGGCGTCTGCAATGTGGACTATCAGAACAGGGCTGGCTACACCGCCGTGATGATCACTCCCTTGGCTTCTGCGGAGACCGACGAAGACATGGCCGTCGTCTGGAAGCTCTTAAGAGAAGGAAATGTGAACATCCAAGCTACCCAGGTAGGAGGTGTGAACCGATCTCTCATCTCATAACTACAGGAACCTCCCAGTTTTATCGGGCCAGTGGGGTGAGAAATTTCATGTAAATCCCTGTAAAGTTTTTAACCCAAGAAGCTGGATCTTCCAAATGGCATCTGTCCAAAGCCTGACCATTTGGTTTCCTCGAAAGCTCCTGAGACCCAGACAGGCTGGGACAGAGGTCAGGAAGCTCTTAATTTATGTCCCACTCTGAAATTGGACACGTTCCATCTGGATTGAGCTTCTCGAACCAAATGTTCCCACAGCTAGCACCTTCCGGAGGCATTTGCTAGTTGGATGAAGCCCCCGCGGGGACCCATCTTAACCACGAACTACAAAGCAATTCAAGGGGTTGGGATGTCTCTGTTCAGCTCCTGGGGTGTGGCCCTAACCCAGTCGGGCTTTGAGTTAGACAAGGCTCATATGGAACAATGGGAACTTACCAAAGGCGGCTTACCTGCCTTTGACCAATACCAGGACAAGCAGAGTGCCTTCAGCTCTCCTTCCCCCCCGGAGGGATCACAGGTGGTAGACTCCCAAGAACTGTGAAGAGCCTGATTTTACTTTACCTTAAAGCTAACGAGGTAGCATGCTACAGTATCATGGGTGCTGGCAGATGACACGAGACTCCTGTGCCAGAGACTAAGGACAGTGTACTGTAGCCGTAGTAGCAGCCACAGCATTGGTATCTACACCAATTCCCTGAAACCCAATTCCTCATTCCCTCAGGGCATCGGGGGGCGGGCAGATCCCTGTGCGCAGAGTAGGTTGTGTTAGGGAGAGGAAATCTGAGCTTAGAGAACCTGAATTTTTTTTTTAAGATTTTTTTTTTTAATTAAATTTTAGAGAGAGAGGGGGAGAAAGAGAAAGAAACATTGATGTGAGAGCAAAACTTTGATTGGCTGCCTCCTGCATGCGCCCTACTGGGTATTGAGCTCGTAACTCGGGCATGTGCCCTGAACGGGAATCAAACCAGCAACCTTTTGGTGCACAGGACTATACCCAACCAACCGGGCCATAGCCGCCAGGGCGGGAACCTCAATCTTTTTTAGTAGCCAGTCAGCATGTCTGTCCTCTGTTCTGAAGGAGACACTCTCTGTCTTCCAAAGAGGTTCACTGTACAAACATCCTTAAAAGGATTGTCTAAAACAAAAGGGCGGATAGTGCCTCACTCACAAGATGTACATAAATGCAAGAAACCCATGGAAAATTGTCTCCCAACAACATACTGAACTCCACCCCCTACAAGCTCCAAAGTGATTGCAGACAGTAGCCTAATCTGATGGCAAAGTCATTTTGCAGACTTCACCTCAGAGCAATCCTGTTGATGGCAAGAAACAGATGTGTAGATCCTGCTCTGGTTTTTAGAGTATTTTCACCCACCTACGGCTCCTACTGCATATGACTCAATTAAGCTGCTTTCATTTTAATGTGTTTTCCATAAACATATGAATTTGTTTTTCTAAATTGGCCTTCTCGCAAGAGGAAGTGCTTGTCTATGATCAAAAGCAGCACCATTTCTTTTTTCACAGAGGAGAACCTGATGGTCCAAGAGGGTAAGGGACTCAGCCCAGGTCCTCAAAGGAGGGATGGGAATTCGCAGCTGCAGCTCCTCCCATCAGCTCCCCCTGGGGCCTATGAGGAGAGGTGCAGGTACCAGGTTAAATGGGAGGGAGCTGGGAGCTGGGAGTCTCCTGTGATGAGCTACTTATTTCTCCTTGTACCTTCAGGGTCAGCGTAGCACCTGGCACATAGCAGTGCTCTGTAAATACATGATCATTAAATTAAGTTGTATTGAACTGGACCAGGTGGGCGGCGAGGAAGGGAGGGCCCTGAGTCAGGCAGAGGGGGCAGGCATGAGGACAATCTGCTCATGTCATCTGGCTTTATAATACCACTAGGAGAGAGGGGTCTGGATGGAAACCTCGTGATCTGGTTAGTTCAGTGAACAAGCATTACCTCGGGGTGGAGTATAAGCAAACCAAAAAGCAAACGGACTTCTCTGGAAAGATCAGTCTGGATTCCAGAGAAACGGAGAACCAGGACACCTAATAATACTCTGAGCATTTGTCATACATTATTTCTAACCCTCATCATGATAACAGTAGCTAACATTTACCGAGCGTTTGCCACGTGCTCGGGTCTCACAACAACCCCATGAGGCAGGTAATATTGTTAATCATTTCCATTTTACCAGACCATGAAAAGTCACTGAGAGGTTCGCTTGTCCAGATTCACGTAGGTAGTAAGTGGCAGAGGCAGGATTTTGTGGTTGCACCCCCCTTTCTTTCCTGAGCCCCAGCGCTCTGGGCGAGGCAGCACAATCCATCAGAGACGGCAGACTGGCCCTTTAATCAGTGAACAGACACATCAGCAAACATGTAAAACACTGCTCAGAGCCACGGGGGAGCTGAAAGAACAGAAAACAGAGTCCTTGCCTCGTTTTTTCAAACTTACAAAGCCTAGTGTTCAGTTAGAGGGACAAGCCTGACCTGCCTGGAACCCAGGAGAACCATGAGGGCAACTGTAATCAAGTCCTGTGAGAGGAATATGTATATATACACACACACACACACACACACACACACACACATAGGAAAATCTATGAGAAATGATAGTCCATTCATAATCAGAAAAATTACTACTTTACAATATTATATTTACAACCTTGGTCTAATTTGATTCCTACAAAATCCCTGTGAGGTACACAAGACAGATCATTATATTAATTTTTAAGAAAAGAGAAACCAGGCAGTGAGGTGGCCGGGTCACACACTAAACAGCAGAACCAGAGCCATGCTCACCAATGATCACAGGGATGTAAAAAATTGTTTGTCGGTATGGGTCAGAAATGACCACAGGGCCATGTGGCGTCTTCTTGAGATAAGAGGGTTTTGTCATTATGCTGAAAATGCCAGAGGCATTCAGAGCAGACCAAGTCTTCCTAGAGGAAGTCAGGCTGGGACACGCAGTAAGAAGTCATGGTGCTGAAGCATCCAGCCCTTCATTTATTCCATCATTTGACATGTATCAGCACATACCAGGTGGTAGGCACTGGGGAGACAGAGATGAAAAAGACAGAACCTGCCAGCAAGAATTTCCGTCCATGAGAATTTCTGGCCAGGTAGCTCAGTTGGTCCCATCTCTGGTCAGGGCGACCAATGAACACATAAATAAGTGGAACACCAGCCCTGGCCGGTTTGGCTCAGCGGTTAGAGCATCGGCCTGTGGTCCAGAGAGACCCGGGTTCGGTTCCCGCTAAGGGCACGTACCTCGGTTGCAGTTTGTCCCTGGCCCTGGTTGGGTCGCACGGGTGGCAGCCACTTGATGTGTCCCTTTCACATCGATGTTTCTCTCTCTCTCTTTCTCCCTCCCACTCTATCTGAACAAAAAATGGAAAAATGTCCTCGGGTGAGGATAAAAAAAAAATAATAAGTAGAACAACAAATAAATACCTCTCTTTTTCTTTTTTATTTCCCCCCTTCCTCTCTCTCTCTGGAAATCAATACATAAAATTTTAAAAAGTTTCCGTCCAGGAGAAAGAGAGTAGCCGGTTGTAATGCCCAGTGGTAAGCGCTGTGTGATGAATCCCATGCCTGCGAGTTGGTAGAGGGCTTCAGAGAGGACGTGGTATTTGACTCGTGTCTTAGAAGACGAGTAGAAGTCTTCCAGGCGGAGAACGGTGTGTCCCATACCAAGGGCAGCAGAGAATTTAGGCCATTGATCATTTTACGGAGAAGTTGTCCCTGAGCACAGCCAGGCAGGAGAGGAGTCCTTCCCTGTAGGCGGCAGCCTCACCCACCCCTGGGCTCTGTGTGCAGGGAGGCCAGACTGCGCTGATGCTGGGAGTCAGCCACGACAGGGGGGACATGGTCCAAGCGCTACTGAGCTGCCAGGCAGATGTCAACCTGCAAGACCACGACGGATCGTCGGCCCTCATGCTGGCCTGTCACCATGGCAACGCCGACATGGTGCGGCTGCTCCTGGCACACCCAGCCTGCGACAGCAGCCTGACAGACAAGGTGAGCCTCATGGGCCTTAACAAATAGGTGTTTTCCTTCCTGAAGTCTTGCCAGCCGGCAGAACTTAAGGAACCATATGGCAATAGCAACCTCAGAACTGACCTGTTGTGGGATTTCAAGGAGATGATCCATGGTAAATGCTGGGAGCCTTGGATTTGGGAAACCCCAAACTCTAACCTTTCACACCGTCATGGGTAGTTCAGACATGGCCAAGTAAGAGGTGCTATCCTTGGGAAGTCTCTTCCCCTCCCCAGGCCTTTATTCCTTTTGAATGGTGGATGTTAAGAAAGTATAGAGAAGTGTGTTTAAATCATTAAATTAAATTAAGTGCCAACATTAAGGAAACTAAAGTCAGACCTGGGCTTGACTCCCTGCTTCAATGCTCAGCAACTTGTGACTTTGTGATAACCACGTAAACTCTCTAGGCCTCTGTTTCCTTATCAGTTAAAACGGGATTACAGACCTGACTGGTTTTCGCCCACCCATCGAAGGGTCCTCGACCCCACCCACGGCCCAGCCACTTGCTGCCTGCTCCAGTCAGGGTCAATCTGGGATTCACACCCGTGGTTCCCGAGGGTGACTTGGGGGAGAATTTCAGTGGCAGGTGGGGACTGCTGACTGGGGCCCTACCAAGCACCAAGCCCCGTGCCGGAGCTTTACATCGAAGGGCAGAGTCCAGCCCTGATCTGTGATCACCACATCGGCTCAATGTTCCCCTTCCCTGCGGGGTTTGGATGCAGGGATTATTTGGGAATTCCCTTGGAAACCTGAGAGAATGAATGTCCTGATTGGTTTCTCTCACCCCACCACCAGTTAATGGTCCATGTAAATGCAGAACCCCCAGAACAGCCAGCAAGGCGTGTTCCCCGGGTTTAGAAGGTAATTCAAGAAAGTGGCCATGCCCTGGCCGGTTTGGCTCGGTGGTTAGAGCGTCGGCCTGCGGTCCGGAGAGACCCGGGTTCGGTTCCCGCTAAGGGCACGTACCTCGGTTGCAGTTTGTCCCCGGCCCTGGTTGGTTGTGCGGGTGGCGACCACTCGATGTGTCCCTTTCGCATCGATGTTTCTCTCTCTCTCTGTTCCTCTCTCTCCCTTCCACTCTACCTGAACAAAGAATGGAAAAATGTCCTCGGGTGAGGATGATAAAAAAAAAAAAAAAAAAGAAAGCGGCCACTAAGCCTCTTGGGGACGGCAAGAGAGAGGAGGACAGGGAGGGGGTGCGAGGACTGAGCGCAGGCCCCAGAGGCTCAGCCTGGGAAGGGCTTTGTTGGCAGCTCCTCTGAAACACCCATCGAGTTGAAAGCCTCCTGCAGTGGAGACTGCCTTGCCCGTCTGTGCCTGATACATAGTGAATTCTTGTCATTTTGAAAGGTAACCCCAGCACCACAGACACACACACGCACATGCACACGCACACACGCACACAGGCCAGCTTCCCAAGCCCGTGTCTCCAGGCATGCAGTGTTGCAGAGCAGGGCTCCCCACACCCAGCCCCCTCTGGAGCGCCACGTGGGCTTGTTCCCAGGGGTCTGCTACCGACACTTGAGAGACACACTGTCACCAGGTGGTCTCTCAGCCACACTTTCTGAGCCGCCTGGGATCCTCCACGCTCCATCCACAGATGCAGGCTGTCGTCTCCAGATGAGGCCTGTCCAAAGGCCCTTTGGGACCAGCCCAGTGGCTGTTTTTCATAATAACAATAATCACACTCTCTCGGTGGTTATGAAGAGCCCCAGGGAGGACAGAGACCAGCAATGATGTCCAGATTGCAGGGGACAAGCTTAAATAAACCTGGGCCCTTGTCTTGTGGGGCTTTTACAAGACTCCTCAGCTTTGAATCTTTGCTTTGTTCCTGACTCGTGCAATCTGAAAAACTGCATTAGGATTTCAGTTGCTCAGGATCTTCGGCCCGTCGGAATGAACACAGTGGCCTCTCTTACCACCCAGCGCTCCCTCTCTCACCAGTGTGCACCGAGAGCCCCCCAAAGGGCAGGCGCGGGGCCAGGCCCTGGGACCATCATGCTGGGCCACAGGAACAAGCCAGATCCAGGACCAGACCTCAGGAGACTGAGGTTTATCAAATAGCCCCCAAAATGCCACTTTAAAATGGTGGCAAAAGAGAGCTACAAGGAGTCATGAGGGCTTTGCAGGGAACCTCATATGTTTTGTGAAGGCCCGTGTGACACCCACGGAGTCCCCCTGTCCTCTGCACACACACACAGCATTGTCCTCTCCTCTGAGTTCACGCTTCCCCTTCTGGCTCCTTTGGCCTTTTGCCGGGCTTTATAGTTGTTTACGTGCGTGGAGCCCTGGTGACAGCTGGACTGCATCCTGGTGCCCAGAGAAAAGGCTGAAGAGGTTGAAGCTGAGTGTGAACACTTCCCACCTGCTTCTGTGGACTTCTGACATTTTAGGGATAACCACCCCCATTTACAGTGGAGTGGAAAACAATCGAGTGGTGTCTTTCCTGGGTGCCCCTCCTTTGTGTCAATCTCCTTAATATTTATGCAACAAAAATGTAAAACTATTCACACTGGTGGTGCTAAATAAGGATCATAGGTAGCCCCAGGCTTTGCCTGCAAATGAGTTACCAAAATAGTGGTTTTCAAAGATATCTGGGTCTGCCCTGGCCGGTTTGGTTCAGCGGTTAGAGCGTTGGCCTGCGGTCCCGAGAGACCAGGGTTTGGTTCCCGCTTAGGGCATGTGCCTCGGTTGCAGTTTGTCCCCGGCCCTGGTTGGGTTGTGTGGGTGGCAACCACTCGATGTGTCCCTTTCACATCGATGTTTCTCTCTCTCTCTCTCCCTCCCACTCTATCTGAACAACAACAAAAAAATATCAAAGATATCTGGGTATCAGAATTCTGGAGACATAACTGAGCCCATTCGTGAGGCTGCCCTGGGAGACGTGTCCTCTGGGTCACGTGGGCCTCTCCGTGGTCCCTCTGGCTGGCGCTGCCGCGAGAGCCTCTGAATGCGGCTTCAGACCGCGGCCGGGCAGCTTCCCGCCTCCCGAAACTGTGGAAGCAGCGCCAGCCTGTCGTGCGTCAGGTGAATGTGTATTTCCTTCCACGCTGTGAGCCCATTTCTAAGACCTGGTCCTTGGGCAATAATTAGAAATGAGGAAATGCTTTCAGCACTAAATTTATGATGATGAAGACTTGAAAACCACCTAAGTCTCCAGCAGAAGGAAAATAGTTCCCTAAATTATGGAATGTTATGTAGCCAGTAAGAAAAGTGGTATGTTCTGACGACGGTGTAAGAATGGGGGAAAATCATATAGCTTATCAATGATAAGTTCAAAATGCAAGCAGATTTGTTTATTTATTTTAAATCCTCACCCAAGGATACTTTTTTATTTATCTTCAGATAGAGTGGGAGGGAGGAGAGAGAGAAACATCAATGTGAGACAGACACATTGACTGGCTGCCTCCCGTACACCTGGACCAAGGCCAAGAACAAACTGAAACTGAAGTATGTGCCCTTGGCTGGAATCGAACCCACAACTCTGGTCCACGGGCTGATGCTCTAATGGCTGAGACAAACCGGCCAGGGCTCCATGCAGATTTAAAATTGATACATGCTAGCATTCCTCTATTTAAAAACCAGTAACAAATTTGGATAGAAGCCTGGAGGGAGACATTCCAAAATGCTAACTTTCACTTAGGTCTGTGTAATGGAATAATGGAAGAGTTATTTTCTTGTCTTTTCTGTTTTCCAAATTTTTTTAAAAAGTATATTAAAAACCAACTGACACTGTATTCCCATCGACATGAATTTCCCAGGAGTGATGTTGTTTCTTTGGAAGGGGCCCATTTCTCATGATTCTCATGCCATTTGAATCTCCTCCTCTCTTAGGGTGTCTGGATGCTTGGAATAGAATTTATGCCCCGGGCACACCCTCTACTCCCAACTCACCCTTCCTTTCTGGGGCGCGAGGCAAACAGGATAACATTTGCTTCTCCTTTTCTTTCTCCCCTGTAGGCTGGCCAAACAGCTTTGTCCATCGTTCTGAAGCCGCCCGCCCATGTGGAAATTGCCGAGCTTCTGCAGGCCCACGCAGAACAGGGCAGATCCCTGGGGCCATAGGGGCTGTGGACGAACTGGCAGCCGGAACAAAAGGCTCCTTCTCTGGACTCCTCCCTCGCCCTTGGAGGGGGCACAGGGCGCAGCCAGAGTGCCGCCCCTCGAGAGAAGAAGCTATGTCAAATATGCACATACATTCCTGTTGTATCATTCTGCTCATTAGGACGCTTTGTAGTCTTGCCTTAGGCTAAGCCCCCAACTCAGGCTGCAGAGCAGGGTGCAAGGTGCCGCGCACTGGTGTCTACTGTCCCAGCCGTCTCCAGCTTGGAATTCCTCGTGACTCTACCCTTTGTGGCACCGCTTAGTGAGCCGGCGGGCAGGAGCACATTAGCAAAACAATATTTTTTACATGGAATTTTAAAGGGCACCATCTTTTTCTTCTTCTTCTTTTAAATCCATTATATATGAATATGTCCCCTTGAATATGCATGTCTAGAGAGGCCAGGGAGATTTAAGCAGTCATCTTGGCAATTGTTCTCTAGAAGGCCCTAGAAGACCCGAGGAGAGTCACCACGCAGGCAGGTGAAACTCAGCAGACTCCACCTGGGGCCTTTGCTCAGTCGGGGCGGACAGAGAAATCGGAAAGTCAGGCAAGGTAGAAAGAAGCACACGGGCGGCAGTGCCAGACGCATGGTTTTGACCATTTGTGAGTCATTCCGTTGCTCCAAGGAAATTGGAATTAATCAGGAAATCCGGTCCAGTGAAGCACACCACATGGATCGAGGCAGAGTCATTTACGTCAATACTTCTGAAAGAAACCAGTGAATCGGACTGAGGATCCTCCTGGGGATGGGTTATTGTCATCCAGAAGCCACCACACTTCCTCCACAGCTGTACCCAGGGCCTTATGGCAATCCCAGCTCCTTTCCCTCATAGCCCCGATGAGTCAACTATGAGCCCCAGGCGGCTCAGAGGTTTCTGAGGTCCCAGACTGCAGAACCTTCGGCCTGGGCTGCACCAGAACTGCGGCAGCCAGGCAGAGCAGGGCCCACCCTGGGCTGACATCTCTCCGCACTGGACAGTTCTTTCTCAAACTTCCATAATCCCAGGGCCCATATGCAGTAACTCACACAGGGTTATCTACAAATGTGTTCTTTCTTAGTCTCTGTGCACAAAATCACCTTATATTAAAAAGAAAGACATCAGAGTTCGGTGAATCTAACATTGGAGACACAAAAGCTTGAGTTCTCCTTTTGACTGAGATGCCAACTTGCTTGGTGCTCTGTGGGTGAGTTACCAAACCTCCTTGAATCCCAGTTCCATTGTCTTTTAAAATGAAAAGTATACAACCTACCTCCTGGGGTGGGTGGGTGGGGGGGGGGAAGGAGGTGCAAGGCACAGCTGATGGAAGTTCTGGAATTTGATTTTAACCCATAAAGACTGCATACAGAAAGTTCTTCACTGGGATTCATAAGAGAGGCTCAAAGTCCCAGAGCAGAACACTGGTGTGTGATGATATGCTCAGAGGTGGGGAGAATGAAGCCAATAATAAGCTTAAAATGATTTATTTTGACCTCAAAGCACATTTAAAGAGCAAAACCCGAAATATTAATAAATATCCTACTCCAGTGCTCCTCAAACTCTAATGTGTACAGATCACCTGGAGATCTTGTTAGGCTGTGGTAGGTCTGGGGAAGGGAGGAGGCCCGAGATTCTGCATTTCTAACCAGTTCCCAGGGGTGCCAACGCTGCTGGGCCACACCACACTTGGAGGAGCAAGGTTCTGGCCTTGGACTGTTTGTATATTAAAATGCTGCCCCTCAGTCTTTCGTCTCAGAGTTCCTTGGCATCTCTCTGCTCTTGGCTCTTGGGAATTTGCAATGTGAGTCTTAGTGTGCTGTTGTGATTCTGCCATCAGCAGTAGGGGATCCGTGTCCTATGTGCCAATTTAGGGTGTATTTCTGCATCTCTCATTAGGGTGGCAACTTTGATTTGGACACATAAAAAATAAAAAAAGTCTCATTTGGGTTCAGCTATTAAAAACAGCTTATGTAGCCCTGGCCAGTTTGGCTCAGTGGTTGGAGCATCAGCCTGCCCAGAGAGTCCCAGGTTTGGTTTCCACTGGGGATACATACCAAATAAATAAATAAATAAATAAATACAGCTTATGTATCAGAGAAGGCAAACTGTTTTTTCTGGAGTCTGAAACCACTGAGTCATTATCAAAAAGACTTCATCATCTCTCTCTACAAGATGGCCACACTGGCAGGATGCCTGAGTGTTCCTCCACCCACTGCAGCCCCGGCTCCTGCCCCGGCCCCAGCTCCTGCCTCAGCACCAGACCCGGCCCCGGACTCGGCCCCAGACCCGGCCCCAGCCTCAGCTCCAGCGCCAGCCCCCTCCCCAGACCCCGTGGCAGCAGCAGCTGTGACACGGCTCCAGGCCAGATCCCGGCCTCTGTGCCATACCCCAGCACAGACTTCGGAGCAGTCGCTGGCTGGTCCCGCTCAGTCAGGCCCCCTCCCCTGCGGCCACGTGGTCCGGCTGTGCCTGGTCAATTTGGCCTCCGTCATGGACAGCTACGAGCGACACAACCTCCGTGCTGTCCGAGTTATAGGGACTCTGCTGGGAACCACTGACAAACACTTGGTGGAAGTCACCAATTGCTTTTCAGTACCACACAATGAGAGACGATGAAGTGGTTGTTGACATGGAATTTGCTAAGAACGTGTATGGATTGCACAAGAAAGTCCCTCCACATGAGCTCATCCTGGGCTGGTACCGCTACAGGCCATGACATCACAGAGCACTGTGCTGATCCGCAGCTGGGAAGCCCCCACGCCCCCAGCGCACCCACCTCACTGTGGACCGGAGCCTCCAGAACAGCGGGCCGTGAGCATCAGGGCCTGTGTCAGCACCCTCATGGGCATCCCCGGGAGGACCATGGGGTGATGTTCACACCTCTCACAGTGAGGTGTGTGTATTATGACACTGAACGCATCGGAGCTGACCTGATCATGAAGGCCTGTTTTAGTTCCAGCCGGGTGATTGGACTCTGAAGAGACCTGCAGCAGGTAGCAGCGCCCTCGGCTGGCTTCCAGGACGCCCTCAGCAGTGTTGGGGTACGTGGAAGATGTACTGTCTGCAAAGCTGTCTGCTGACACTACTGTGGGCCGCTGCTTTATGAGTCTGGTTAACCAGGGACCCAAGATAGTTCCTGAGGACTTTGAGACCGTGCTCGACGGCAACATCAATGACCTGCTAATGGTGACCTACCTGCCGACGGTGACCTACCTGCCAATCTCACAGTCACAGCTGCCGTCAGCGAGGAACTTGTAAACCTGCGCGTGGGCCCCAGCAGAACTCCTTCCACTGGCCCCAGCGCTAGGACTCAGAAATGGCTTCTTGTGGTTCGAGTCACACTGAGTGAGTCAACTACTTATTACTCTAAATAAACAGAGCCTATCTTTTGTAAGTGAAAAAAAAAAAAGACTTTATCCATCCTTTCTGAGATTTTGAACATTTTTTGAATCTTTTTTTTTTTTATCCTCACCTGAGGACTTTTTTTTTTTTTTTGCATTTATCTTCAGATAGAGTGGGAGGGGGAGGGAGAAAGAGAGAGAGAGAAACATTGATGTGAAAGAGACATATTGAGTGGTTGCCACCCACACATCCCCAACTGGGGCTGGGGACAAACTCTTGCCCTTAGCAGGAACTGAACCCGGGTCTCTCTGATCTGCAGGCCGACACTCTAACTGCTGAGCCAAACCAGCCAGGGCTGATTTTTTTAATCTTGAATTTGGAACGTGAACCCAGGATCTCATCCCTTACAGCCACCCCATTCTGTTGGAATGTCTGAGCCCAGACACAGTGAGATGAACAAGCCTAGCCTGCCTCTCCTGGCTCTAGAATTCATCCAACAAGTACCTGTTAAAAGCAGCCAGGTGCCTGACACTTCCCAGCACTGTCTTTTAGAAAGCAGCTTAGGCCTCCTCTACAAAAAAGAGTGTCTAAGGAAGGTCGCCGTGATCCCAAACCCGGGCTCTCCAGGACCATAAGCCAAGGCTCCACTGATTAACACATTTCTCAAGTACCTGAAGCACAGCCTCCAAGCAAAATACTTCAGACTTACTGGGGATAGGTATTGATCAGGCCTAGGAGAGACTCACAGGTCTTTTAGCCCCCGCACTGCCTTCATGGAGTGTACAATCTGCTTTTGGAAGACAGGACTTATGTGCCAATAGTAAGGAATAAGATCAGGCTCCACAGTTTATTCCACAAGTATTTCTGAAGTGCCCACAGTGTGCAGGCCCTAGACTTGCATGGTAGTTACCATAGTGATATCATTCAGACTGTCACCACATCATCTACGTGGGAAAACAGAATGGTGAGAAGGAAGCCCAAAATACTACAGGGGAGTCAATATCAGGCACAAGAGCTAATCTGAGGAAGTCAAGGGAGGCTTCCTGGAAGAGAAATTATCTGAACTGAAAACAAAGATTAGTGGATGTCATCCAGAAGAGGAAGAGGAAGAAGTGAGGTGATATGAGAGTGTGCCAGGCAGAGAAACCAGTGCTGCCAAGGATGGATGATGGGACAGCAGACATCAGGGGCCTTCAGTCAGTTTAATAGAACTGTCACAGAGCCCAGCCAGTGTGGCTCAGTGGATTGAGAATCGTCCCATAGACTGAGAGGTCCCTGTTTGATTCCCCATCAGGGCACATGCCGGGGATGTAGGCTCAATCCCCAGTAGGGGGCATGCAGGAGGCAGCTGATAGATGTTTCTCTCTCACATCAATGTTTCTATCTCTCTCTCTCAATTCCTCTCTCTCTAAAAAATCAATAAAGAAAAAAAAGAAAAAGAAATATCATAAAGAGTTTGAGTGAGATGCTGAGATAAAAGGGTAGATTTGGAAGAGATGAGACTGATAAAACATGAGGACCAGATCATAAAGTGCCCTAAAGTTATGGTAAAGTTTTGTTCTAAAGGGGATGAAAAGCTATTGAAAACCAGATGTATGACAAAGAAATTTATTCATCTATCCCTCATTTAACACAGATTT